CTCTTTCAATTTTCGACTTATTAAATAGCAGTTTTACTGTTTTACGAGCTTGTTCCAACGCACTCATGAAAATTATGGACACTGCAAAAATAACTACTTGATAATCCCTGACAGCTGACAATGTCAGCTGTCAAAAAGCAGCCAATGAGAATCAGTTGTGCCAATCAGAAAAATAAATAAAACATATATACAATTGCCACTAGCAAATAGTTAAAACACTTTGGGTTTGGGTTGGTTAGGAAGACTATACATGGAACAAAAATTGGGATGAATAGAAATTAGGGTATTTACAGAGGCCACATCACTCAGAACATGGAATATGGAGTACAACAAGAGAGCATCTGTGCTTATAAACATTAAACATGTGCATTCATTTTCAGACAAATGCTAATCTGGCCAAATGTTTGGTAAACCGCTCATTCACGCAAGCAAACAAAAAAACTAACCAAAAAACCCCTCAAATTAATTCATGAATGAAATTGAAGAGAAGGGCAGCAGCACCTCTATCCCTTGTGACCCAAAATTAAGAGAGAGAAAATGTATATTAACTGACTGCCTAACTATTTGCGTGGATTCATATATTTGTGCAATTTGAGCTTGACTGCATGTGCACTGATCTCATATGTATGTTTGCCATGTATCATGTGACAGGACAAATGAGTTTGTATTATTGCAGAGTTAATGGAATTTTGTATGTCAATGCAGACTTACCATTCAGGTGAGATACAGAGGCAGGATATTGGAAGTAACCTCAGCTCCCTCGATTGTCACGTAACTTGGGTGGAGGGCTGTTGGATGGCATGCAGGCATATGGAATTACGAGAGGCATGTCTGTAACGCCACAAACTCTGTTATTAAATTAATATAATGTGTACACATAACATTACTGCTTTACCCAGCAAAATAGAATCAGGGGAGAGGAGAATCAGGGGAGAAGAGACACTACTTTCCCATAGGGGACTGGAGCTAAAGCATATTCAGAAGTGAGACTACTTTTGGAGACTTAATTTTTTGCAAAGACACCCTGAGATGACATGTCTGCTTACTTGGTTGCCACTCCCATGTATGTTAACCTAAGATGCTTTAAAATACCACAATATACAATGTCCTATATATACAATGTCCTATATTCATACTAATCCCTGGAGGTCCAGTGGAGAAGCCCTGGTGGTCCCATTGATGAGAGTGAACTCTAGCAGCCTCAGGAGCTGCTAAAGTTCACTCTCGCGAGATTTGGAGTATTGCCATGGTAATCGCGGCAATGCTCCGAGATTGCGAGAGGAGAACCCTTCGGAGCTGCAGGTTAGAGCTCCCCTGGGTCCTCTCTCGACTCCCTCCCCTGCTGGCTGCCAGCATTACAGTGCTAGCGGGCTGGAGAGGGAGATCTCTGATCTCCCCTTCGGTCCTGCAGAGCCGACAGGGGAGAGCACAGAAAATATTTAGCAGCTCCCCTGTGTGCCCAGTTTGGGAACTGCTGCTCTAGCATGTTCTATAAATCACCTTATGACACCAACAGGATTATTTACTTAAGTAAGATTTATAGGGAATTTAAAGTGAATTTAAAATTTAAGACTAAGATAACCAAACTGGAAAAAAATTCTCCAAGTCAGCTATGCTTCCAGTTCAGTTAGTGAAATTCACTTTAAATTCACTTTGTTTCCCCAGCAATTCTCAATTTAGTGAATAACCCTCATATTAGATATGTGCATGGCAAAAAATGTGGTTCTTCCAAATTGATTTGGTGCGGATCTCTGGAATTTTTATGTTCTAAAGAATTTTTTGGGGAAATTTTCATTTCGGTTCTACATTAGTTTCAGTTCTGATGAATTTCAGAAATTAATAAAAAGAAAAAGCACCCATAGACTATAAGCTCGTTTGAGCAGGGTCCTCTTCAACCTATCGTTCCTGTAAGTTTTCTTGTAATTGTCCTATTTATAGTTAAACCTCCCCTTTCTCATAATATTGTAAAGCGCTACGGAATCTGTTGGCGCTATATAAATGGCAATAATAATAGATTCCCTTTAACAAAAAAACAACTCTCAAACTGTAAATTAAAGTCCAAGTGTGCTGGAAATTGTTTAATGAATTAAGAGTATTATATAAAAAGAAAATAAAGGTTTTCAAGTATGTCAATTTGTCAACAATGTTGGACAACAATTACTTTTTGTTTTACTTTTTACTTACTACACTTTGGCCATGATGGTTTTAATATTGTCAATTCTACCATAATATGAACTGTCTATTTTACCCCACGTGCATCAGAACTGACACGTAACAAGCTGCAGTGACTGGATTTATATTTCCCAGCTCAGAGTTCAATATCAATGCATTTTAATCTGTTTTTTGTGGCTAACATTGTCTGTGATATAGATAGTTTTCCAATTACTCCTTAGTAAATAAGACCCTTTTCCACTTTAAATCTGATTAGAATTCATTCGGCTCAGATGTATCTGAACATAAATGAAAATTGGAAAAAAACATGCTGGAGACATGACTGATTCACTAATAAACAAAATACATTAATGTATAACCATGTTTCATTTTGAAATGGAAAAAGAACTGAAATTTAAAACCCTGTTCTTTGACATGGCAGAGACACAAGGGTGATAAGTAAAACACAAGAGATATGGCTCTGTGCCTAAATTTCTCAGTGTATGATTAACACAGAGGATATAAGATCGCAATTTCTTAATGCCCTTCTCAGCCATCTCGGAATTGAAAGTAGGAGAGTTCACAATGAGTCACAGGTGATGGTAATTGCATTAGGCAATTGGATGCACCTGAGAGGCTTAGGGACACCAAAGGGAATGTGCATAAAATTGGATCTTTCAGCTACAAAGTCTGATCTATAAAAATGCAAAGGCTAAGAATATTTTCAAATCCTTTAAGGCAAAAGAAAAAAAAAAAAAGCTTAATTTTAACTCAGTGTAAACCACACTGTAGTAAAATTAGATTGAAAAAAAAAGTTAGAAAATTGTGAACAAATTGTTGCTGGAAATGTTTGCTTAGTTTCGTCAGAATTTTTGCTTGTTTGAACAGGGTCCTCATTCTGTTAAAGGAACACTTTAATGTTAATAATAAAAAGACAAAACACTTTAATTTAATATGCTGATGGGCTGGAAATAACATGAATTAGAATAAGGAATTAATGCAAAGACTTTATGAATACGAAGATGTCTGGAAATTACGTCACATCAGGAGTAACGTTGTGCACCTGAAAGGCACTGACTGAGGGTATACACCTGAGGAAGATGCTTGTTTATTTAAAAGCGTTGTGCTAATGATGTTAACATTCTTTTTAGGTATGGATTCAAAAATAAGAATTTTTACATGTAAAATACTTTTATAATTTTTTGTAAATCAATATTATATATTATAATTATATATATGACATCATTGATGTTATTGCTCTCTTTTCCTGGGAGTTACCTATCTACCTTGTGGAGACTGTTGGCCTGGAGGAAATACTGAATTGAAGAATCTTTAACCTCGTCTACATACTTGAGCCAGTTTTTGAACAGGCTCAAGTAAATGTGAGTGTGTTTTGTAGGGGGGATTTAGCTTCTTCTCCATATTATGTTCTAACATACTGCACTATGATATATATTCGTGTATTTTTTTCTTTTCTATTTTTAGCAGGGTATAAGTATTCACACTTTGTATTCCCAAATTTTGTTTATATTGTTTTGGTGTGCTCCTCATTTTTATTATACTTCTTTTAGGTTAAAGAGATCAATTTAGAACTGATGAATGGGTACTCAAGATAATGCCACGTATGTAATTTGACCACAAACCACAACTAACATTAGGGTACAGTTAGAACCGATTGTTCCGATTGTTCTGTTCTTGAAGAAGAAACTGAGTTCCATCACTTATTACTATGCTTATAGTATAGGAACATATATATGCAGAACAATAGGCGTTTTACACTTGCAGACAAGCAAATGAACATTATTTGAGTGTATACGTATGTTTTAGTACATTAAACATATATATATATATTTCTAACATTAGAGTGTTCCTTTATGGGGGTAAATCAATATTTGAGTGGCTTTGCTGTGAAAATGATATAATATTTAAACTTAAATCTAGAAGATAAACATTTAATGATTAGAAAATAAAACAGTAGAATTTGTGCACTTCCAAACAGAGCTCCAGCAACACTACATCAATGACAGATGTCCTTGTGATGTATCTCTGTCTCCTTTAGATCAATTAAATTGATAAAATTGGCATTCTCACGTTATTTCCCCATCCATAAAAGGGATCAGAGCAAAATACTAGCCCAGTGGATTGTTTAAGGAATTATTAACTGAAGGATATTTAAGACATGCCTTGTCCAAGAGATAATTTAAGAATATACTGACCCAGAGTTGATTTATTTATTTATTTATTTATTAAGAAAATACCCTCTCTGTCTCAGACAGTTTTTTTACCTTTTAGCTGAAGATAGCAAGGAGAATTGTTAGTGTAGGACCCACCTCAGAGGTTTGACTTGACGTGGCAGGTGAGCTTACACTTCAATGGCCATTGGAATGATACTTAAAAAAAACATCCAGTTATTTAAATGTGCATAGGGATTTGGGAAAGTGCGCAAGTTCACTTTTCTTTGGTTTTTATTCTGTCCTGAGCCTATTTTAAAGGAGTGTTCCAAACACATAAAGCACTTCAGCTTGCGGAAGTACTTTATGTGCCTAGAGAGTGTCCTGTTTGTTTAATTTTATATCAATAGAAATACGTACTTTTATTAATTAACACGAAAACACCTCCCTGTTTGTCAATCAGATAGCCAGGATGTGTTTGTTTCCTATCTGTTTAGCTCAATAGAATGAAACTCTTATTTAGATAGAATGCTAACCTATAAAATACTTATTAAGTGTTCTTGCATAACAAGACCACTTAATGTTATCTCACATATATATTATTCTTATTATTATTATAGCCAAATTTACCACCCTAACTCCTCCCACAGTTTTTACACTACATAGACAGTAATATACCGAAACGTGCGGATTGTTCCCGATTGGTGTGCTATTACTTTGTGGAACGTTTCGTCGAATGGTTCACAAAATATCGTCGTTTTTGTGGCGAAATTGGTCCCATAGGAATGAATGGCGGAATGTTCAAAACTAGAGTGGGAGCTGACAAAAGCTGAAAAATCAGGATAAGATTTCTAAACTGCCACCACTGCCTCATTTTCAATCCCACCTACACAAATCTTATATCAAAACGTTCAGCTATCCCTGCTGCCACTAAAAATGTCCATGGCTAAGCCATAGTCCTGATAGTTTTCACAATATGACCATTTGTTTGCAACTCACGCCATCCTTTGACATTCATTGAAACTCCACTCTAGCCACCTCAAATTTGAAGGGCAATATCTAAACTGCGACTGTGCCTTCATTTTTAATATTTCAGAGACATACTATTCTTCAATGTAGGTCTGGGTCTTGTGATTCTCACAATATAAAGCTCTTTGCTGTAGGATTTATAGTTTTTAAAATACGACCGTTTGAAGAGGGCTACCGCCAGTGAAGTGAGCAATTTGGAGCAGTTTGTTTGTAACCACTCTTCTCTGCTCTATTTGGAATCTATTCGTTCCTATTGGCAGTTGGTGGAATGTTCGAGGGATTTGAAACCCTGTGTAACAAGGCTGCAATATGAAGATGCTGTTATATATGTATTAATAAAGTGAGTACTTCGTTATACAGGAATTATTGACTGATTTGTACAAAACATCACAGTGGCAGCAGGGATAGCTGAACTTTTTGATATAAATTGGTACATTTATATCCCTACATGGCAAGACCACTTACTATTATCTCACATATATGTTATTATTCTTATTGAGCAATTTGGAGCAGTTTGTTTTTAATTGTTCTTCTCTGCCCTTGCTATAGAGTGAGTGAACCACACTCCAACCTTTCCACAGTTACTCCAGCCACTCCAACACACAACAGTTACTCCGCCCACTCCACCCAGTTACTCCGCCCACTCCAGTTGTAGACTACTGGTGGAGGCAAGAACACTTCACACAATTTCCCCAGCAATTGTAGCTTTTCTAGTTATTGAGCTGTAATACAGCAAATTTAGAATTCTGATTGAACAGCTGTGAACACATAGGGGGGAGCTTACAGTAGCTGCAGATACTATGTCTGCAGCTATTGCAGGCCTAGATTTCATATATCCCCAAGGAAAACACACAAATTACATGTATGTTTATATTAAGTGTATGTATATTAAACCAGGGGTGGTCAAAAGCCAGATCCCCAAATATTGTAGAAAAGCAACTTTTATAATTCTGTGTCATTCTAAAAGCTGCCAGAGCATGATGGGCATTGTAGTTTACAACATCTGGCAATTTAGCAAATTCTATGTACACCAGGGCCGGATTAACATAGGGGCTGATGGAGCTGCAGCTCCAGGCCCAGGCCCATGGAATAGGCCCATTGATTTAAAAAAAAAAAAAAAAAAAAATTATTTTTTTTTGTACTTTTTTTTTTCACACACTACTCTTAGGGATTCCATCTGGCTTTTATTTTATTGGCACAGCCAGTATTTGGGGCTGCCTGGCGGTGCCAATATTGCAGTTATACTGGCAATACAAATGCTGGTATTTTTTATCAGTATAAACAAGAGATTACTCTGCAATACCAGCACTGGCCAGTAGGGGTCGCTGTGTGTGGAGACAGGCAGGGATAGGAAGTTCCAGCATATCCCTCCCTGCCTATCTATACTCACTGATCTGCAGGGGTGCAGCTACAGAGAGTCCAGACAGCAACTCCCACCATGCAGAGACAGCCTACAGCTCAGGGAAGTGAGGGATGGGGGGACAGGCTGCAAGGAGACATGGGGACACTGAGATACTAAGGGACACTGGGAGACATTATGGCAGACACTGAGACACTAAGGGACACTGGGAGACATTATGGCAGACACTGAGACACTAAGGGACACTGGGAGACATTATGGCAGACTCTGAGACACTAAGGGACATTGGGAGACATTATGGCAGACACTGAGACACTAAGGGACACTGGGAGACATGGCAGACACTGAGACACTAAGGGACACTGGGAGACATTATGGCAGACATTGAGACACTAAGGGACATTGGGAGACATTATGGCAGACACTGAGACACTAAGGGACACTGGGAGACATTATGGCAGACACTGAGACACTAAGGGACACTGGGAGACATTATGGCAGACACTGGGAACTTACTAAGGACATTGGGAGGTTTTATTATGGCAGACACTGTGAGGATATTAGGGGGCACTGGGAGACATTATGGCGAAGACACTAGCGGAACACTAGGGGCACTGGGAGACATTATATGGCTGACACTGAGATACTAAGGCACTACAGGAGACATTATGGCAGACACTGAGACACTAAGGGACATTGGGAGACATTATGGCAGACACTGAGACACTAAGGGACACTGGGAGACATTATGGCAGACACTGAGACACTAAGGGACACTGGGAGACATTATGGCAGTCACTGAGACACTAAGGGACATTGGGAGACATTATGGCAGACACTGAGACACTGAGGGACATTGGGAGACATTATGGCAGACACTGAGACACTGAGGGACATTGGGAGACATTATGGCAGACACTGAGACACTAAGGGACACTGGGAGACATTATGGCAGACACTGAGACACTAAGAGACACTGGGAGACATTATGGCAGACACTGAGACACTAAGGGACATTGAGAGACATTATGGCAGACACTGAGACACTAAGGGACACTGGGAGACATTATGGCAAACACTGAGACACTAAGGGACATTGGGAGACATTATGGCAGGCACTGAGACACTAAGGGACACTGGGAGACATTATGGCAGACACTGAGAGGAACACTAAAAAGAGGACATTGGGAGACATTATGAGACAGACACTGAGACACTAAGGGACATTGGGAGACATTATGGCAGACACTGAGACACTAAGGGACATTGGGAGACATTATGGCACAGGCACTGAGATACTAAGGGACATTGGGAGACTTTATGACAGACACTGAGACACTAAGGGGCACTGGGAGACATTATGGCAGACACTGAGACACTAAGGGACATTAGGAGACATTATTGCAGACACTGAGACACTAAGGGACATTGGGAGACATTATGGCAGACACTGAGACACTAAGGGACATTGGGAGACATTATGGCAGACACTGAGACACTAAGGGACATTGGGAGACATTATGACACAGACACTGAGACACTAAGGGACATTGGGAGACATTATGGCAGACACTGAGACACTAAGGGACATTGGGAGACATTATGGCACAGGCACTGAGACACTAAGGGACATTAGGAGACATTATTGCAGACACTGAGACACTAAGGGACATTGGGAGACATTATGGCAGACACTGAGACACTAAGGGACATTGGGAGACATTATGGCACAGACACTGAGACACTAAGGGACATTGGGAGACATTATGGCAGACACTGAGACACTAAGGGACACTGGGAGACATTATGGCAAACACTGAGGTACTAAGGGATATTGGGAGACATTATGGCAGACACTGAGACACTAAGGGACACTGGGAGACATTATGACAGACACTGAGACACTAAGGGACACTGGGAGACATTATGGCAGACACTGAGACACTAAGGGACATTGGGAGACATTATGACAGACACTGAGACACTAAAGGACACTGGGAGACATGGCAGACACTGAGACACTAAGGGGCACTGGGAGACATTATGGCAGACACTGAGACATTATGGCAGACACTGAGACACTAAGGGGCACTGGGAGACATTATGGCAGACACTGAGACACTAAGGGACACTGGGAGACATTATGGCAGACACTGAGACACTAAGGGACATTGGGAGACATTATGGCAGACACTGAGACACTAAGGGACATTGAGAGACATTATGGCAGACACTGGGACACTAAGGGACATTGGGAGACATTATGGCAGACACTGAGACACTAAGGGACATTGAGAGACATTATGGCAGACACTGAGACACTAAGGGACATTGGGAGACATTATGGCAGACACTGAGACACTAAGGGACACTGGGAGACATTATGACAGACACTGAGACACTAAGGGACATTGGGAGATATTATGACACAGACACATGGGGACACAGTGTCCCAATGTCTCCCAGCCTGGTGTCTCAGTGTCCCCTAGTCTCCCAGTCTCTCACTTTCCCCATGTCTCCTAGTGCCTCCATGTCTCTCATTGCCTCAAGTGTCACAATGTCCCCATGTCTCCAAGCTAGTGTCCCTAGTGTCTGTGGCCCTGGTGTCTCAGTGTCCCCATGTCTCCCAGTGCCCCATGTCCAGTGTCCCCCAGCCAGTGTCTCTAGTGTCTGTGTCCCCATGTCTTCAAGTGTCCCCTATTTTCCCATTGTCCCCATGTGTCCCAGCCAGAGTCCCCTAGTCTCCCAGTGTCACTGGTGTCTCCGTGTCCCTAGGTCTCCCCGTGTCCCAGGTCTCCCCATCTTCCTAGTGTCCTAGTGACATGGGGACCCTGGGATACATGGGGACACAGGGAGACATGGGGCATTGAGACACTGTGATACAAAGGATCACTGGGAGATCTGGGGACACGACACTGGGAGACATGGGGCACTGAGACACTGATACCTAGGAACACTAAGACCTGGAGTAATCCACACATGGGGGCACTGAGACATGAGGACACTGGGAGACATGGGAGCACTGGGAGGAATCCATCTATACAGCAGAATCAAACTAAGTAGTTTTACAGCATTTTCTCTCATGTCACTCCTTTTTTTCCAAGAAAGGTGGCAAACGTAACTACTTTTCACATACTCTTACTTAAGTATGGAAACTTAAGTGGGATGTATGGGAACAAAACTTGTGTGGACTGGCTGACAATGAATATAGTTAAAGGGACACTATAGTCACCAGAACAACTACAGCTTATTGAATTTGTTCTGGTGAGTAGAATCATTACCGTCAGGCTTTTTGCTGTAAACACAGAGAAAATGCAGTCTTTACATTACATGCTAGTGATAACTTCACTGGCCACTCCTTAGATGACTGTTAGAGATCCTTCCTGGGTCATGGCTGCCTAAAATGCATCCAAACATTCAGTCTCTCCTCCCTCTGCATG